ACCCTGGGAATCCCCATTCTTGTGCATGAGACAAGAAACCCCAAACATGATTCAGTACCTCTTTGTTAGTTTTCAGGACTCCCTAGAGGCAAAGCACCAGTATTTGCTAAATCACCTCCAAAATCATCAGACAAAACAAAGCTTCCAATCAAAACCCTAACACAAACCTAAGAAGCTAATAAATAAAATTAAAACCCAAAACCCACAGGGAAGGTCTTTAACCACTAGCAAAATTAGTTTGCTTTTCAGTAGCCAGTGGTTTATTCTGCTAGCAGCAGACAACACAGATTTGAAATTTTATTTATGACTATGATTCAGTTCTTTGGACAAGCAGTGCCCTTCTGACTCCACTTTCTTAAACTGCAAGCCTCAACAGTGACAAAACTTCTCCCTATGAGCTCCTTCATTTTAGAACAACTCAATTCAGAGCATACATTGGGGATTTTCTATTACCCAAAGTAAAGCCAAAGGTAACAGAAGCTAGTTTAAGACATTAGTGTCCACCTGCTAACAAAAAAAGCCAGTTAATTCAGCATTAATTTCTGGTATTCAGAGTTATCTTTCAAATATAACATACAGCATGCCTTTCTGTGGGAAATCTTGTGGAGAAGCTAAAGACCTCTCACCTTATGTTATATCTGGTTAATATGCCTAAAATGAGTTTATTCCAATGGGCCTATATACCCCTTCTTACAAGACAGGGGAAGAATGCTAGTACATGCAAAAAACATGGTCATGGAAATTTTGGGACAGTTCTTAACTGTTTTGTCTTAAGTTAGCCATTAATTATGCAGAAACAGTATAAGCCAAATGTTGTGGTCACATACATGTTCCACATAGATATGATCTAGGCTGCATCTCTTTATCAGCCTTAAATATTAAATACATAAACATGTTGGTTAAGATTGTGGAATACTTACGTAACCACAGAAGTCTGATCTATAACATGCCTGCATAATGAATCATAAGGACAGATAAAATAATTATGGCTGTTCATTATCTGCCTATGGAGGTAGTAACTCAGTCAACAAATAAACTGTTCCAGAGATTTAAAACGACAAGAGTATTTATTATACAGGTATTCTGCTGTTTTGTTTTCTACTGTAGAAAATAGAGATAGGCTGACCCCAGCCAGCAGATAAGCACCACACAACTTGTTCACTTCCATGCCCAGTGGAACAAGGGAGTAAGAAGAGCAAAAGCAAGAAAACTCACTGATGGAGATAAAGATAGGTTAATAAGTGAAGGAAGAGGTGATAAGGGGGAAAAGAAAAAGTGATGCAAGGGCAATCACTCGGCACCACCCACAAGCAGAAGGATGCCCAGCTAGACTTCAAGTAATGGCTACATGACAGACCAACTCCCCCTGCTTGGTTTTGATTGCCAAGCATGACACTATGTGGCATGGAATATATCCCTTTGATTATCTGGGGTCAGTTGTCCAGGCTCTGACCCCATCCCCCCCCACCCTCCACTCCAGCCTACTCACTCTGAGGTCAGAGTGGGAAGCAGAGAAAGCCTTGATGCTATGCTAAGGACTGCTCTGCAACAGGCAAAAGACTGGTCTCTTAACACTGTTTTCGTCCAAAACAGAGCACCACACAGCTGTTATGAAGAAAATTAACTCCAACCTAGCCAGACGCAAAACAAAAATATTTTTAAATACAGCCACCTCCAGCCTGTACCAATTTGGTCAGGAATGTTACACTAAGTCCTACTGCAGGACCTTCCTATTTAAAACATTATTTTACAATAAAACTTCAAAATCACTACTTATTTGACAGCTGTTCTGGAACAAATAGGCTAACTTTTAAAAACACAGATCAATTTTTATCACAGTAATGTCCTATAAACTGGGATTCAAACACTTCATCTATCCCTTGTGAGCAGAAGTCGTCGTTCAGTTTTTTGAAATACTTTCTAAAATACTTTAAATTTCCATGAAATTCAACTTCAAAGAACACACCACACAGATCAGGAACTTGCACACAGACTTCTAACAACCACAGACTGACAAGTATTGTGTGCTAGACTCCAGTCATACATCTCAACATCTAGATCAATTTCCTCTAGTTAACTTCAACTCATAAAAGTATTATTAGGAAAATGAAAACATTAGACCCCCACATATCTTCCAGATGTAACTTCCTGCTCTTTTCTTTAGGGTCAAAAAGCAAAATCAGAACTACTAAAAACAACTGAAAGGCAAAAGCTAATGCAATCTGTCTGCACAAACCACCTTTCAGCATGCCAAGTCCAAGCACAGTAACAAGCACCCCTTTTCTCTGCCTACATTGCACTGTACAGCACAGGACCCTTAAGCTGAGTAACTAGTTTTGCAGGCAAGTAACTCTGAGTTTTCATGCATTATGAATAAAGGAAAAAATCATATAAAAAACCCAACATAATAAAGCTGATGCAACATTTTTGGGGTTTAGCCACTTACATGAAGCTTCAGTAACGGAGTTGCAGTGTCCTGAGAAAAACTGTCAAGACAGTGTTCTTCCAGGGTTCCTGTCTGTGGCTTGGGACCTGAAGAGAGAATTTCTTGCAGTGGCATGAATACTACTTCATCATCATCATCATCATCATCATCTAGACTGCGTTCCAAACTCTCATCTTCACCATCAAAGCTGCTTTTTGATTTTCCATTCAGCTTGGACTTGTCTGTACAGGCGCTTTCAGCTTTTAACTCTTCTGACAGTTGTGAAGAAATATGGCCTCTGTTCATGCACACTTCTTTAAAAGACGATGAACAGGAAACGCTTTTACCTGGCTCTTCTGAGAGTGCAAGTTTCCTGGAACCTTCCACTGAACAAGAATCAGAAGCATTTTCCAAAGTTTTGTCTTTTGTTTTTGAAAAACTGTTGCTGCATTGAATACTGTAAGATTTATAGCGTGCACGTCTTTCTAGTCTTTTCCCACCTTGCTCTTTCTTCCCATCCAATACCTGAGACAAGCCAGCATTCTGCAGATTAGATTTCACACCTTTTGTTTGTGGTAAGTGGTAGAAAGAAGGCAACACAGTACTTTTTTCCTGAGAAAAAGGAAGGGACTTTTCCAAGAAAAAGCGTGAATTAGCCACCTGCAATTGATTCTCTTTGGTATCCACAACCGAAATGTGGTTGTTTTTACCAGGACCTGCAGAGGACCAATTATTTTTCTCATTTTCATTGCTTGAGTTGAGGTATTCCTCTGAAAGAGTAGAGTCATGTCTAGGTAGAGCAGCAGCCTCCCTTAGTTGCAGCACATCACCAGAAGCAGACTTTAAAAGGATATTTTTTACAAAGTCAGACCTCCTATTTTTGCATTTTGCAGATGATCTACTACAAGCAGAGTCACTCAAATTTGATACTTCAGATTGCTCCGAACTCTTTGCATCCACACTCATCGCGGTGTGCTTTCTCTTCCCAGGAAAGTCTATTTGTTTGGATCGCCCAGAAGACATCTTAGATATAAGGCAGTGCGAAGGAATAGGCTGGCTCTTCCATATACCAGCAGTCATCTCAGATGACGTTCTCAGTGCATTTGGAGAAGACCCCCCATGTTTTGAAACCTGCTTTGCTTGAGATGGGTCATCTATGAAGTGTTTAAGAAAAAAGTAAACCACTGTTGTGATGTTTAAAAAATAAAGTAGTTTTAAAAAGAAATAATCAAAACTAACAGCTTACCCTTAAAAAACCCATAACTTCTGTTTTTAAGTCAACTATAACTGAAACTTTTTATTAGAATCTACAATATTTCCATTCTGCTTGAACACAGTGGACCACAATTAAGATTCAGCCAATACTGTACTGTTATTATTGTAACTAACTTGGAAATTAAATCCTGTTATTTTAAAGCAGCTCAATAGCCACCACAGAACTTTTCCTCTAAACTAGAATCAGTCTTTGGAAACACACAATAGCCCAGTTGAGGTATGGGATTGGAAGAAAGTTTCTGTCATTACATATTATGGTTATAAATAATGAACAGTATAAAAAGTATTTTAGAAATACTGCAATAATTTTAACAGTGATCATAAAAAAAACATTCAGAGTATGAAGAAAACTGTTTTCAGGCTACAGTTCTATGGCAACAGAGCCCACCTTCTTCACTATGCTTTTCTGCTTCCTGCCTTAAGCTGGCACCAGCACATGGACACTTCATGGCAAGCTACTTCATGGAGCAAACGTGGCTGAGAACTTGCCAACTCAATTTTCAGCCAGATCAGCTCCTTGCACCACTGGTCAAGCCCCAGTGCTAGCACAGGTGGAAAGTGAAGCATATCAGCAGAGTCTGATAGGTTTACACAGCCATGGATCTGTAACATGGGAATACTCTCCTTGCTTTGGGTTCCTTCCCTCCCTTTTGGTTTTGTGGGTTTTGGTTTGTTTTTGTTTTTTTTAATCATCCTACTGACCTGGCTCAAGCTTCTATTGACACGAGCTTTTTATATTCAGTTCTACCTACTGTAGAACAAAATTATGTGGTTAAAAAGGAGAAAAACAACAAGAATACCAGCTAAGCTTCAGTATAAAATGCAAGAGAAACACGAAAAATAATCAGTGATTAAGGGCTTAAAACAAAGAAACATCACGACTTCAAGTTAAGTTACAAACAATCTGTTTATCACTAACATCCCAAGTAACTCGTAAATCTATTCAAGATTGCCATATCTTAGAAATAATCTTGACTATACAGCAGTATTTTTTTGAGAGAAAACAGAAAAACATAACTTCAAGGGAAAAAAGCCATTAAAAAAAGACACTGTGATGAACCTGACTGTTCAATTAATTCCATATTATCAGCACTGATTCTACCTGAGGCAGTCTCCCTTGAAGCAGAATGTGGCATTTTTCTTAAAGAACATCCATTTCCCTAAAAATAAAGATGGAGAAAATAAAGTTAATTGTATACTTTTTAAAACCAGGATGTTGATGTCTTGAGCCAAGTGCTGAATCCAGCACAGACTTAGTTCCACACAACCCCAAAAATATGGTAATAAACTTCATTTCAAGACAAAACACAGCTGCAAAGATCTCAAAAGGACTCTCCACAATCTGAATTATTTTTTTTTTTTTTTTTTTTCAGATTGGCCTCCAGTTCTAAATCTCTCCACTTTCAGAGCCATTAGCACTTGTTTCCCTGGGCTATATGGCTTTCCTGAAACAAGTCATGAGGAATTTTAATATCAAAATGACAGAAAGCACAGATATGCAAATACGGGGTGGGGGGGTGCTAAGAAGAAAAGGAAACAAAAGCTAAACAAACTTTTTTGTACCATTCACAGCACATTACGGAAGCACAATTCCTGACCTTCCTTGCAAGTAAACAGCAACCTTTTAACGGGTTTTTTTGGTTGGTAAAAAACTGAACATAATTCAACCTGTAATGAAATACTACATACTTAATAGGACCCCTCCCACCTCTATCTAAATACTGTAGCTTGAGTGCATAAATCTGAACTGCTATTAACGGCAACTTCTAACCAGCAGAAATTTGCCAGGCTGTTCCCTACACTTCATTGTAAGAAAACACAAGGTTATAAGATATTTAAGATAAAAACTTTTTTTTCTACAAAATGCAATTTAAAGTCATAATTTGCATTGCATTTCCATGCTTGCATCTAACCCTCAGAGAATAATACCTCTTCTACTTTTAAACAAGGATTTCTCATTTATAGTAACATAGTTAAGAACTGGCTTACCCAAGCATGACCTAAAATATACAGAGGAACACCAAAAGAGCATAACTCTTGTTACGAAAAAGGCAGCACCAAGAATCTCATCCTACATTGAAAAAGAAAATTTAAAAAAAAAAAAAAAAACACCACACACACAATGAGTCACTGATTTCCACCTTTAACAACCCTTCTGAACACACCTGATGTGATAAACGTGTTCCTGAGAATGGTTTTGCAGGATGCGTCTGGGATTGTTTCATTTTACGTTTCTTCCGTCTTCTTTCTCTGCAGAGAGCTTCCAATGACAACCTAAATTTAGACTCTGCTGAATTATGGGACAATTTCATGGGAAGACCTGGCTTTTGGCACGGAGATGTGTTGTTCGCAGTGCCATTATTTCTAGCGCAGGCTTTTCGGGTATCAGCTTCCGATAATGAAACCCATTTGTCAGAGGCTAAACTAGCGTCTTCTAGATCCATACAGTCAGTTTTCTGTTCCCAACTATTTCCACAAGACAATGGTGCTCTTGTTACACCCAGACACTTCTCATTTCTTCCCTGTTCTGACTTGCCAGTTTTATCCTTTTTGGTCAAGAAACTGCTGTGAGACCCTGCAGTAATGAAGAGTTTTTCAATCACAACTTTTGGGTATAGTGACCCCAGTGCCTTACATGGTCTGCCATTCTCCAGAATGTTTACACTGTCCTTTCTCTCCTTAATTCTTCTCTGAAAGGCATCTACCAGAAGACTTGTGCTGGGTGTTTGGTCTGGCATCTTTTTTCTTCTGACCTTCTCTGGAGAAGGTATCTTCCTTTCAAAATGTTCAGCACATAAAACTGACAATCCGATTCCTGCATCTTTTGTGTTTCCTCTGTCTGGTGAGCACAACACAGTCCTATCTTTATAGCTACGGTCTAAGAGAGAAAAGAAAAGGCAAATTATTCACAATCACAACACTGGGGCAAAAAAAGTCTTATTGGACTGTATTACTTGATATTTTATCTCTCTCTCTCACAAGCAATCCAAAATGAATTTACTTAATCATGCAATTTATTTCATATCAAAGAATTCCATGGTCTATGTCACCACAGCTTCAGTTGTTACAAACAATCTAGATTAAGCATGAGACAATAACTTGAAATAATAATTACATGACTATTTAAATAAATTAATTTTAATAGGAAGTTAACATTTTCAGTTACATTATTACAAAAAATTTAAATGTGTGCATTTTTGCATATTTGGTAAGCTATACTCATTATACTGCTGCTCCAATCTGGAATGAGATTCAACTATACTTCTGCACACTTATATAATTAAGACTCATATAAAAATCTTCCGTTTAAAAAAAGATATAGTTACCTTGGTTTGAAACAGTTTTGAAGAAATCTAAAATGGTCCGGTTTCTGAAAAGAAAACATAACTTTACCTTTTTAAAAAGAACAATACCTGAACGCCCATACAATGAATATTGATAAAATTAAAATGCTGTTAATTTATTTTTACATATTTTTTTAATGCCAGAAACTCTTATTTCTGATAGCTCTGACACATCAGAGTTAGCCTTCATTCTCTTGGCTAATGAAGGCAACCTGTCAGTTTTCTCGATCAAACCATTTCATTTATCACTCTAGTAAGACTTAGCCACCCTTCCATCTTAAACTAAGCTTTCTTAAATGGGACTGACCTCACCTGTATACAGAATTCTAGATGAGACCTCCCCAGTACTTTATGTGATAGTGTTAACAACTTCCCCATCTCCACTGTCAACACCTTGAGCTGGTAATTCCTACTGTAATTTTTTTTAAGGTAGTATAGTGGTAAACAGCTGGCCTTATCAATACTGTCAGTGATCAAACCCCCTTCAAAGCATTATTAGTTGCAATCAAACCACAAAGGTCTCTCTGCAAGTTGTGAAGTCCAACTAATTCTGTAACTTTCTTCTTGGCTGTCCAAAACCCTTTGTGCACCACTGTTGCTTTTTTTCAAACATCTGGTGACAGGCTGGGATGCAAATTGTCTGCAGTATGACCAGACTTCCCAGCAGAAACTTGTACCAGGCGCTGCTCCTTAACAAAATGCACCTGTCAGTGGTGAAAGGGCTCAAACAAATGAATTTCTGACAATCATTGATTAAGACTAAACTGTGATGCATGAAAGCTTTGCCTGTGCTTAGCTTGTTTGTTTCTTAAGGACTCCTTAACTTTTTCCTTAGACCTCTTTTTCTGCTTAGATCTCCCTATGTAAATCACAGATAGCAGACTCAAAGCCTTCAAAGGACACTTGGGCAACTCCTAGAATGGGCAAACTAAGATAAGGGGGACTCGAACAAAAGGACACAGAGATCCTATTATAGTATAGGGAGGATGATCTTGCTGACTTAGGAAGACATCTGGACTTAACCTCAGAGTGCATGCTATGGAAAGAAGATCAACTAGCAAACACAACGACTAGTTCTTCCCTAGACCACCAAAGATGCTCACTTTACTTCTACTAAGCATGCTTGGACTGTGTAAATGAATTCTGTGAATCATTATCATAAGACACTCTTTCCAGGAAATCTAATGAATATGTATGATTTGTGTGTTATGTAAACTGACATCCCTTGCTAATTCTTGGGAGCCCTTATGGTGGAGAATCCCCAGGGCGGCCTCAGCACTGCTAAAACAGTTATATTGAACGTTGAGTGAATTTCTTTATTTCAGTGGCCTCCTTTCCAGCGCACGCTATGGGCATCTTCTGGCTTCCAATAGAAACAGCAGTCTACAACCATCTTATTTTTACATATAGACAACAAGATAATTAAATCACAGGTATTTTCTCTGGCAACAATAAGCAGGGCATGAGAGCACCAAGGCATTTCTCCATGAGAGAATGTTACTTCTAAAAATGGACAGATTGAGTAACGTACAATTTGAACATTAAAATACATCAAGAATGATGAAATTGCTATTTTCACCTTCTCCCACGTAGCAAGTAAGTTCACTAACAACTTCAAGGATACACCTATGGCTGTTCTGGAAGTGCCTCTTCAAATTCCAACAAGATATTGGTGTGAGAAAGCAGAATAATACAGATTTGTTTAAAACCTTCTTCCATCTTTTGTAATCTTTCTGTGTCTTCCAAAACAAAGCTACAACATTACTGCCTATGTAACAGTGTTTATTCCAGATTTTAAGCTAACATATTCAAACATCCATACATTACTCTGCTCTCATAGACTGAATAACCATTTCTGGAAGTTCAGGCCAGAAGAACCCACTGCTCACTTGTTCAAACTAAACTTGAATTTAATTTTTAATCTTTACGTAAGCTTGTTACTTTCACTTTTGCATTTACTAACATGGTTTCTGCATTTTTAGCACCTAAAATAAAAAAAGCTGTTTATAATGCATTGATGCTTCTTTAACCAGGTTACTGGCAAGCATTAATGTTTGATAATACTGTAATTCAATGAAAAGCTACCTGTAATCAGAATATGTGAGTGCATAAAACTGTCTTTTTGGCTTCTCAAAGAGAGAAGAAAATCTACTTGTCAAAGACTACTTGCCCGTCCCAGTTTAATTTGATGTAGGCCAAAAGACACACATTCTTCCTACATGCTGAAGCAACAGGGTCCCAAATTTCAGTTCAACAGAAGAATCAAAAGGCTACATTTCAGGTTTATTCACTGTTATTGCTGTTGCTGACTGACTTGGCTTTCTGCCCTAGACCACCTCTCACTCTGACCTCACCTTCTCACCAGAGGCTCTCTCCACCTTGTGTTCCTCAAGACACTCCTGATGCTTGCTTGTGACTCTCAGCCACAAAATCAGCCCCTGCCCACAGCTTTCTGCACCACGTATGTTTCCAAAACTCTTCTATTTTCCTAATAGGAAACTCTACTCCTTCCTTCTAGGTTCAAGTCCAATCTGCAGTATCAACCACTGCTGGCAGCCCAAATCTCATTTTCGGTTACCTCTCCGATTCCTCTTTGCACTTGAAGACAAACCAAAACTGAAGCCTTCCACTAGCTTCTTCCTTCTTTCCACATTCACTGATTTCAAACGACTGCTTATCTCCCTCCCACATCTACTATCTCATTGTTGTATCTTTTTGCTGTCTTTTATTCGAAATGCAAGAGCTTTGTAGCAAAATTAATTCGCTCCATAATTATACAAAGCCTTGTATAATATAACTGAGAAAACAGAGGCACTGCTGCTGAAAAAACAAAGTTTTTTCCCTCCTCCCTGGGATAAAAATTTAACATGAATTATTTGTCTTAGACTATTTGTTTTAAGGTGCTTATCCATCGACATTTTCTACTTTGCATATGTAATTCTGCTTTTTGGAAGTGCAAGGGATAGGAACTGTCCAACTAAAACTAGTAATAATTTCTCAAGTGCTGTATCTCAGACCAGGAAGTGTACTAGAACTTGAAACAAAAGGGGGGG